CGCCTGGCTCGAACGGTGCGGCCAAGGAGATTTCTCCAAGAAGCACGGGCAATCCTCGGCTTCAATAGGTGGGGAAGGTGTCTTCCGAAAAGAAAGCCCACCAACCAAAAGGTGTCTTCTGCTGCAACGATTCTTTTCCAAAGTGGCCTCACTGCCAAGCTTCAAGGATGTAGAAGATCACAAGGTGTTTGCCAGCTCCTGCGAGGGCGCCAAGGCTGGCATGAAGCACAGCATCACCGCTATGGATCACCGAACTGACGTTCATATAAAATGGCACCATGGTCTTTTTTTTGGGGGGGAACTTGTCTAGACTTCCGTGGCAACGGTCCCGTGACGGAGTGCAACTCATGAATAGAACAACTATTGGAGGAAACATGAGGAAGAAAAAGATCTTCCAGGGGTCCCAAGGCGGGTTCTATTAGGTGAGCGAAACTCAATGGGCACTTGAAGGATTGCCAGGGCATGGGACACACACTCTTGAGAGGCCAATTCCACTGGCAATCTTGGTCTAGATGTATCTGAACGTTGGGTGGATTAATTGTTAAAAATATCCAACTCCTCTCAGATCTTCAAGAAGGTTCTGATCGCGCAAGTGCATCCCACATATGTCGTATGTCGCCTCAATTTACACATACGTACCTTCAAACTTCTGGAGAAGGATGGCTTTTTCTTTTCTGCTGACCTGCTGAGTTTCCCCAAATGGTTTCCCCGAACTCTCCCACCTGTTCTTGTTCTGGAGTTCAACCCATTTTCCAGTGATCCACTTTTCCTGGAGAGGTTGCCCAGGTCACTTACAGAGTCCGTCTGGCTCCTGTGAGGAAAACTGCGCTAAATCGCTGCTCAGCGCCTGGCAGTCATCACAGATTCCGGGCGTTTGTCCGGGGTTAAGTCAAGCGCAAGCTGGACATTGGTAGTAGCTAGACTCTTGATTAACAAAACCTCCCATATGAAGAGGCTTTAGAATTGAGTTGAGGAGGTTCTATACGGATCAACAGTCTACATTTCCCGTTGTAAACGGACATCAAAGGCGCGCAAAGCGGATTCCGGAAGGCCATCTTTCCTCCACAGCCCATGTGGTCATTAAGACCCTAGACCAGAACTGCAGTCATCGCATGGCTGGAAAAGACATGAGCCCCGACTCGCATAAAGGGAACATTGCCAGAAAGTCTTGCGGATGATGGTTGACGTTTTGAGCGTCTTGTAAGATGTTCATGCGCAGTATGGATAATCTCCAACCTTGAACCTTCCATGAGATGTTTGCACTGGTGAGGCCCTGTGACGTACCCCATATGACCCCAAAAATGCAATGTGCATCCCACTTTGACAGAACATGCTCAGTTGTGCTGACAATATTCCAGGGAGACGGTAGACAATGGGAAAATATCTTCATTTGGAAGACACACACGCACACACACATATATATATCATATATATATATAGTTATGTATGTGAATGTTGTTGGAATATACTCCGACTTGAAAATGCATGGCTCGGAATTTGCTATTGTGCCATCTACTGGCCATTGAGACAGTTGGCAAATCTACCCAAATTTTCTCCAGTACATGGCGCAACATGACCTTTGTTTCTTTAAGATCTTTTATCCTTAAGGTGTGTTGAGCCGTCTATTGGCAGAAAACCGGTTACACACACATGAATTGAGCCATGTATAGCCTCGCTACTTTCTGCCCGGAGTTGCGCCATCCATTTTTACCCCGGTGTAGTGAAATATGTAAGTTGAATAATATGAATTCCGCAATACGATTTTCAGATATTTTCAGCACGTATTTGTTTGTGTTGCTTGCTTTAGTCAAAATGAATTCTTCTGGCCCTAGCGTCAAGGCTGCAGTGAAAATAGGGTCAGAACGGCAACTTGGTCAACTCGGACGAAAATGATGAAGAAGCATCAACCAAAGCAGCTGGCAGCATGTAGACCGGTGGTACGGAACAAAAAGAGACTGTACTCCAACCTAGTAGCGATGGCCTCCAACCTACTAACGATGACCTCCAACCCAAGAGCGATGGTCTCCAACCTACTAGCGGTGGCCTCCAACCTAAAAGCGATGGCCTCCTAGAAGCAATGACCTCAATAGCAGCTGAAAACGAGCCATAGAATTACATATTGGGTATATCTCATTACCAGGGCCCTGTGGATGATACTTGTTGATTGTTTGGTCTCTGTCTAGGATAGTGGTAATTCTTTCCCGACCGTCGCCGACTGTGGCAGTGGGGCAGTCGCCCACAAGAAAAATAATCATCAACAAACACATATTATGCAAATTACATATTACATAAGGTGATATATATATGTATATGATATGTTATGATATAGATGTAATAATATGATATGTTTATGTTATGATATGTTTATATACTCAGAACATATGATATGTTACCATATGTTAACCCTGCTTCGGGAAACTCCGTTCTCTGAGCTCGTGGACGGCATTGGACAGCATCTCCAGAAGGGCTTTGTGACCTTGGAACATCCAGCATCCCTTCACTCTGAATCTTTTGGCTTCAAACATGCGAGGGCGGTGAGGAACCAATCCAGTCATTTGGCCTACCTTGCACAAGGTGAGCTACGCGGATTTGTTGACTGAAGCACCATCGTTCCGGGGTTCGGGGTTTGTGCAATTTTATGGGATGTGCTAGAAGCTGGGGTCGAATCCCAGCATAGGTCAAACTGCCTCGAACAAGAACGACATCGAATTCAATGCAAATGATCATGCTGTCCTCTAGGGAGGGTTTGCGGGTGCAACGACGTCCCCGAACATGCTGTTCAAAGAATGTTATTCAAATATGGAATATATAACTGTATATACACACATATATATATATATGTATATGTTTTTTTGATGGAAGGGTCTGCCTTTGGGCGCGCAGTGCTGAGTTTCCACCTGCAACAGCCGCCACTGCTTCCCAGCCAGGATCACTTTTGGCATTTCTCTCAGCCCAGTGGCGGTGAAACAAGTGCTCGAGCGCTGTCACGACTGGAGTCAACGATTTCATGAGCAAAAGATTGAAGCACCACCACACACAGTGGATCTACTTTCTTCCAAACATGATGCTTGGGGATATCTCCCATGACCACACCCCAGCGGATGATGATGCTTGGTTGTTTGTTGCAGGTAATGGGACAAACCCTGCCCATACATGATGCATTTCTGGACATCTGTGCTGCATCCTCAGTCATCCACGGAAAGTGACGAATATGGACTGAAGGATGCCTTCAGTTCTAAAGGTTCTAGAGTGGGTCTTGAGCTACCACCCGCCACCAATCCTGAAAAGGTAGGATTTGGCATGAATTCGCTACGTCTTGGGGGGTGCCACGACTCAAGCAAATCTTACACGAGCTGATGGAAGAGCCGTGCTCGCGTGCCAAAAGACCTGCGAACCCAGAAAAGAACACTTCGGCAATTCTTGGCGTGCTCCAGTCTCCTAAACTTGCACCTGACGTTTGCCAGGCCAGTGTGCAATCGAAATATGTACTTGTGCGCATGTGCCCGTACTAGCATCGGCTGTGCTCGAGAATTCACGGTGGACGTGCTGCCATGCAAACAACATCTTGAATTGAACCAGATTTGCTGAAATGCTGCATTGGCAGTCAAAATCAATCCAAACCCTGCTTGAAATAGATCGCCAGCTAGTGCAAACCAAGCTTGACACATTTCATGTGCTCTTCATGTCCAAGTGCCTCAACCAAACATTTCGCCACGTTCGAACTGTGCACGAATGAGACACTATGTGGAATCAAGGTGGCTGTGTTAAAAGCACTGGCCAGTGGTCTCAGTAATGTAGACTGTTGGCTAATTGACGATGCCCCCACCAGAATGGCTTTACATCTCCATATGGGAGGTTTTAGTGATCAACAGTCTATACACGCAGATGGGCAACCATTGAACATGTCACAGAAATCCAAAAACAACACATGGCAAGCAATTGCAATATGAGCACGGTGATCCTTGCTCTTCAAGTCATTCAAGAGCGCGCGCCATTGAACCCATCGAGGAAAACATGACAAGTTGAAAAAAGAACACGTGAACATCTGCTGGCGCAAGATGTTGAGCTGGTGTGGTCGTCAATCCTGCGCAGCCGATCAAAAGTCACCATCCGCATACCTGGGCCGAACACTCACGTCACGCTTCGGTTCGACACGCTTCTCACGTCCGAGCCCGTTCTGCTTCGGTTCGCCGCGCACGCCCGTTCTGCTTCCCGCGATGAACCCGAAGCCGGTGCGGCGGTGGACCGCGAGGGTCCCTGCGGTGGATCGCCGCGTCGATGGCGCTGTGCACCGGAGATAAATCCACCAAAAGATACCAAAACCCACCAGCAAAAGGACCCTGACACTTGACTGTGCCAAGTGAGTCACAGTGTCACCAGCTCCCTCCACCATGGCAAACTCCCTACAACTTGTTCCGCTCCTTCGGTTTTTCACCGCCCACTGCATTCTCAGGTACATCCAACGTGGTGGCTCCCCAGGGCAACGGAGCTGGATGGTCCCTGGCTGGTAATACCTCAGCTTGGTCTGAGGTCACCTATCTGATGTCTATTGGTAAGATTCCATAAGACTCACCAAAAAAAGGTCATCTACAGATGAGTCTATAGTGAGACATGTGACCTTTGCAAGACCGACCTCACTCTGGGATCTCAGGCCACTGAGAAGGTCCTGGTATGAGGCTCCCATTTGATGCATGAATATTTGAATAAAGAGAGCAACGTATTAGAGCATTCAAATACACACAAATATATATATATATGTGTATATATATAGACCAACCTAGAACAGCTGCCATCTCTTTTCCCTGCTGTTTGGGTCTTTAAGTGTCTTTATACACCCCTCGGAGCTCTAGGGGCAATTCCCCAAAAAATCAGTATATATATATATATAAACCAAGACTTGTGAGGGAGCTTTGAGCCAAGAGCTTTGCAGGAGTATGAGTATAACATAAATGAGTGGAGCAGTGGAGTGTCTAACTGGGAAACCATGCCTTCTCAGTAATTTAGGCACAAAAATTGTTTGATGGGCTCAAGTTCTGTTTGCCAGGCAGCTGTTGAATGCACTTCGGCGTCTGCCAGTGATCTTCCCAAAGTTCCACTTTCCCGGTGATGGGATGCCTGTCAAGCACTGAGGGGTGCACTGAAAAAATGGCCGAAGCGACTGCGCGACCAATGCGCAGCTGAACACACATACAACCCTATGTAGAATCATTGGAGTATGTATCGTATACTCCCTCCTGTAAGGTGTACAAACATTTCTGCACAAGCTAGAGTCAGCTAGAGCAGGAAATAACACCCTCTCTCTCTCTATCTCGTGTCGTTTTCGCTCTTTTACTTTCAGTCCTTCCACGTAGGGGTAGCATGATTAGCGTGATTTGCATGAAGGCCAACGTGGAAAAGAAAAAACCTTTCTATTAAATCATTTGGATCCAGATCGTCTCAATCCCTGAGTGCCACATCGACTTCCAGGAATGCATCTCTATCATCTCTATAGTGACTGTAGTGGAACATGTGGAACCACCCCCCTCAAAGATCTCAAACAGCCGCCCATGTTAGAAGAAAACACCGGAGCGGGAGCACCCACCCAGGCCGAGGCCTCCACCGAACCCAGCGGACCGAACCCGACGGGTTTGGGGGCGTCGACCCGGCCACAGCTGGGCTCCGCTCGCCTCATCCAGCCATCGCGGCTCCCAGGCTCGGAGCGAGCCATGTAGATCCTCGGTGGCGCGAGTGGTCACGGCGTGGGGCGCCCTGGATTGAGCTGCCAAAGGCTCGAAAAGCTTCGGTGTTCGGTGTTGGGTGTTGGGGGATGGGTTGGTCCATTTTCCAGGAAGGCGCCTCGATTTTTCAAAAGAAAACACGGGTTGATGCTAGCTTCCCTGAACTCCTAGGACCGATCCGGAGAGCGAAGACACCGGTTCTGCACGAGGTGATGAATCACTCCGGTTGACTCCCAGGCGTTGGTGATCATCGGTGATCTGGGTAGCGTGATCAGTTTGACCACGAAATTGGTTTAGGTCAAGAGTTCTGGACTTGGTCGTGTCAATGGGCAACATGGTTTCAGGGTCTTTGATGTGTGGCCAAAGGTTGAGCATTTCACCACCTGACCACTTCCTTGGACAACACAAGCACCACAACCACCACCGGAGTCTTTGAGGTATCCTTACTGGTGCCTCTAATCATCAAATCCTCCCTTTGAGTCCGAAAGACATTCCTTTGGGTACTCTCAACTTGCGCACGTGACGCTTGCTAGTCTCCTTGTTATAATATCATTGGGGATTCATCCTTGGGTTCTGCCTGCCAAGGATCTCGCCATTCCTCTCATTGGACAAAACGGCTGGCTTGGGCTTGGCCTGGAGGACTGGACTCGTGACTTCCAATCCAGGACCTATGCATCCCGATCATCAAATGGATGCTTCTGTTTGGAACATTCATTCCATGTGGGAAGCTGGTAAGGCCATGTCATTTTTCAGTTGATGGTTCTCTGTGTGTTCGATCCACCAACATGCGAAGAGTAAGATGCCTGGTGACAGAGTTCGGTGCCCAGAAGGCACCTGCTCAGAGCCCCAAAACATCCTGAGAGTGTCCTGACGGGGGGGATCTTCTATCTTCTACGCATGTTTTGAGGTGGGTATAGATTAAAAAGTATATATATAATTATATATATATATCGGGTTGGGTTATGTCACATCAGTGCGTGTGAAGTAGCATCACTGCATGGCCACGCGTGGAAGCGTGAAGTCACATCAGCACGTGTGAAGCCACATCATGCTGTCTCAATCACAACGGCCACACGTTCACAACCTATGTTTGGAGATTGACTTGTTTGGAGCCCACGCCTGTAAATTTACATGGTTTTCACTTTGGAATATACACAATTGGACTACTGGTCAGGAGTTGTATCCTGCCCACGCGGTTTGGAAGATGATGTATGGTGCCAGGGATCTGGTGGGATGTGAAACCCCCATGGCGCGACCCACTGTGAACAATCAATTCTTCAAACCGTTCCTGCAAATTGCATGTAATGCGACTTGAAACACGATGCGACTTAAGCCTACCCCCCAGTACCAGGACCTTCCCAGTGACCGAACTTTGGAGTCCCTGTTTGTGACCGAACTTACAAGCCTGTGACCGAACCAACCAGGGGATCAAGTTCGGTCACTGGGAAGATCCAGGTGTATATATATATACATAGTACCCCAGGATTCCAACCACTATTGATTTAATGGTCTGAATCCCGAACAACCATTGTTTTTACTAAGCATATGTTGCACCACAAAAGCAGGTCAACCATTCTAAACATGGTTGAACGGACGACTTCGAGGGCATATAATATATACCTGGAACCATGACTAAGTTGAAGTTTCAACTTATGTCCAGAAAACGTTATTATTGTGTGATTTGGTGGAAGTTTCGCTTCTGAACGGAAATAATCGTATTATCGCAGAAAATCGTATTTGGTGGCGGCGCCCATTCAAATTCGGGAAGTCTCTTCAACTCACTCCAAACAAGCATCATTCAAACAAATTCATCACAATACAAACAGGTCAAACAGATTGGACATGAGGGGTTTAATTTCCCACTTGCCCTACCCTTCCCCTGCCACATCCATCGCACTGTTTCCAACTGCTCTCCCCCACAGTGATTTGCCGATCTATCCTTGCACGCTCCAGCAAACCTTGACCTGTGCAAGGTAGCGCTGCAGCGCTCGAAGAGCCTGCTGCCGTGGCGACACACAACGAGTTAGGTAGCTAACTCGACCCACCATGTCTTCTTCTTGGAAGCACGCATCTGCTAAGATGTTCCAGCAAAAGTCTGAGACGTTGCATTGGTATGTCATCTCCTCGACCAACTCTTGAACCATATGGTTCTTCGGGTAAAGAGGGAACGCAGGCTTGCCACTCTGTAGCGCTCGGTACGCCATGTACTGGTAAGCCCTGATGAAATGGTTGCCAGCTCTGATGATTGCTTCTGCCCTGCACTTTGGCACCCATATGCCCTCGCTGAACAAAGAACTCACAAAGAAGTTGACGGCAGCTGTTCCTGAAGCCTCAGCATTCTGAAAACTGACCTACCCAAACTGCTCAAACAAAGGTTGGTTTAACCACGGGGTCATACAAATCAAAACGCTTGAAACATGACAAAGAAACAATGGTGCGGAGATCCTCATCGGCATCAATGATGCATTTGTGCCGTTCCATGTAGTCCTGCAACCACTGAAGAAGGGTAGCCGTCAGGTGGGCCTTGTTCCAGCTTGCAGAAGGCTCACTGGCCTTGAGGCCGAACGTGTGAGGCTCTAGGGATTTGAGATACTTGATCTTCCGGTTCTGCTCGCAGTACTCGATGTAATCGTCGCTGAGAATCTGGACCCTCTTGTCGACCGACGATCCACCTGTGACATATTGGAGGTGTTTCATCGAAGAGGCCACCCATGCTTTCCCCACACCCATGTGGATGGTGTGCCAGACATCAGGCCTATGGAAGCGTTGCTGGCCTCCAGGAGCCTCATCGTGCAGGAGTCGTGACCAATGAGGTTCCACCGACCAAGGTGGTGGGGTCCCATGAAGCCTCGCCGTCCGGATCAATCTTTGGGCCGTGTTCCTCACAGACACACGCATGGATGATCAGCGAAACCCATCTAAAGCGCACACAGCCATAAAAATAAAGAAAAATCATCAAGCAAAACAATCTAAGAGTCACATCCTCCCAGTCTCCTTCTCTTGTCCCCCCCATGCACAAATGGCATATCCCCGGGGGGTTGTGCATGTACTTCTTGGCTTGAGCTTTTGCTTTTGGCGCTCGCCGGTAAGACCGTTCCAGATTTGCTGAAGAAACCTCGCCATAAACAGGTTCCAAACAATGAGAAGCACATAGCACCCTGGCTATAAGAACTCTGACCCTGCATGCCTCAAAAAAATCTCAAAACACCAGTCTTGAACCAGGAAACAAGGTATGACCAGTCGCCTTTGTTGGCTATGACAATAGGATACACCGTTCCATAGCCAGGGGCTTCAAAGCCTTTGTCCTCTAGCTGCTTCCAATCATCCACCACCAGGCTGATGAGGCGGCTGAAGACTGACGGATCATCGGAGTACATGTCCTGCCAGGTCGACATCACATGTCATCCAAGGGCGTCGTTGACCCGAACATGAAAGATACAAAGACATGCAATTCAGATTCCGCTGATCTGATTCCGCCCCGGCCCAACACAATGGAAAAACCAATGCATCCCAACACCGTCCTTTGGGCAAAGCAGTGTCAACAGCCTTGTCTGAAGAGCTGTTCTCACCAGGTTCATGGGGATCCCATATGATGCTAGGTCCTTGTACCACTCGTTCGGAGTTGCAGATTTTCGCGTGCCCTGCCCCAATGCACCTGAAAACTGTAGTACAAGCATCCCGTTGCGCTTGTATGTTGTGCCCTCATCACCGTGGACCAGGATGGGCAGAAGATGCGATGTACTGATAGCACCCCGTGACTCCTGGATCCTTCTGAAGACCCCATGGTTTGGATATATTGATTGAAATCTCGACCAAAACAATTGTAAGGCCTGCTTTGCTTCACCAAAAGTTGGGGCGCCGCCGAGTAACAAGGAGATATCACTGGTGCTGCACATACTCTTGATGAGAACTGAGGGCCTGATCCACGGAAAGCTGACATAGTCACCCACAGTGTCAAAGCTCAATTCAACAGGGTAGACCAGGCCATATTGCCGGAAGATTTTGCATACACCCTCTTCCTTATATAGAAGCGCAATCGTTCGCTGCACTGTTGAAACCATACACTAAAATACACCCAACTCTTATAATTGTTGCAACTCCTGAAATGAACATGGGATGCTTTTTATACAGAAAAGGGTTTGTTATCAAACGCCAACAAAGACGCCGCATTTCTCTCCGACACTTTGTGCAGAGCTTTGATGACTGGACAGAATGATGATACGCTGCTTCCCTCGTCACCTGCTCGTTCTTCAGCAAGGCGATCACACATATCCGCTTTCGCAGATCGAACGATCTCAACGCAAGGTTCCTTGGAGCCTACGAGACATCATGTTCATTAAGATGCATGACTGGATGCCATGCATGAATGCATGCAAAGGGTATACAAAGACTTTTACACTGAAAAACTAGTCCATCAAGCAATTTGTTTGTCATTGACTCGAGCTGCACCCTTCATTTTTATATATACAATTAAGCAACAACGCAACAAACAACAACATGTTTGTGTGATCAGCTCGCGCTCGACCGGTGGATCCAGCCATAAGCTGCCAAGAATCTCCACGGCCATATCGCCAGGCCAGGTGTCGCGCCCTCCTGGACGGACCTGGCACAATGTGCAAAGGGTGCAACCGTAATGAATGCACTGGGGCAGGGTTAAGGGAGAAGGAACCATCATCATCATCCACTGTTAGCGCACTTGCGTTTCAAGATGTTTGTACATGTCCAGAGGCTCCATTTTCACCTTGCTTTGATCCTCCCACCACATGTGAGCACACATGCAAACCTGTGGGCGCAGATGGCCCATCAAAGCAGAAAATGACTATCCTGTGTTCAAATCAGTTGATTCCCGATCACACGTTCAAACAAAAGAGCCCCAGTGTGCAGGAAAGCCCGCACCACCCATCCAACTATATACAGCCATGCATGCCGGAATGCACCGCTCAGGCACTGCCCTTTCCCTTCCGGGGCCGCTTGGGTGCAGGCTCAGTTGGCTTAGACTCTTCAGTCTTTGGGGCGGCGGCTTTGCCGTTCTTTTTGGCCTTTTTGGCCTTGCCCGCCTTTGATTTTGGAACAGCCTTAGATCCTTTTGGATGAGAGGGCGCATGCCCTTTGGCACGTCCACCCTTACCCTTGGGAGCCTTGTTCCCCTTGGCGACATCTTTCTTGAGCTGCCTTGGATGTGCAGCGGGGAGATATCAACACAAGACTTTTTCGCTATAGAACAAAAAAGGCTACACTCTTTTGATGAGGGGTGCAAACAAGATGCTTGTACTCAGCATCCAATGTCACCAGCTGCACGCACCTCATAGATGCATTGGTTAGTTTTGTTTTTTTTCACACATCACTGACATTGCACACAATCATAGTCGAATCCAAGACGCGGGGGCTTGACATTGGCCTTCTCCTTTTCGATCTGGCTAACAAGCCTTAGTCACGCGCGTTTTGACACGTTGATCACGCGTATGTGTTCTTCAAAAGGGCTCAATCATGAAGGATTTCACTGCATGGTTTCAGCTTCGGTAGTGACTCTCACAACGACCCCGCATCAGTGGAGCGTCACTGGGTCTCTGAAAAGACCTATATACATAGTATACTAGGAACGGTCCGTCCTCGCTTTCGACTACGCCCTCACC